GGGGGTTCTGACAGGTCACTGAGTGTGTATATATGTCTGTGTGTATATACTGACAATATTTWTGAATGTRGGCATGTATGTATGTATATCTTTATATATGTATGGGTATGTGTATATTTTTATTTATGCCCTCCATGTATTTATCCATTTATTTTTCAGGTGAGCGGACAGATGTTGGGTGTGTGGTCCTGTGTTTTGTTGGTGTATATTTAATATACTTTTAATCACTATTTCAATCTTTGTGATTACTTCTCTCCCTGTTTTTCTCTCTGTATCTATTTTCTCTTCACTTAAAAAAAGTCACTGATGATGAAGAAAAAAATAAACTAAATAAACTAATATTTGGTTTCGTTTTCTACTGAAGTGACACACAAAAAAACTCTTCCATTTTCCCACAGGGAATTCCCACTGGAGGGGCATTCCAGTTTAAATTTATGACTTAAAAGTGGGAAATTCCCACTTCCCAGTACAATTGGGCCACAGCGAAAGTATCCAGTGAAAACACAGCGAAATGGAGAATTTACACAGCAAATATTGCCAGATGACAGCTGCTTTACAACCCTGTGCACCTACACCTATGATAGGAGGCAGTGGGTAAAATGATCCACATGCATTATGGGAGCTGTAGTTTATGCTGAATGGTACATCTTTGAAGCTCTTGTTTGCYACAAAAAAAAAAAAAAACCCGCTGTGGCAGGCCACGTGTAAGTTTTATGTTTTGCATACATATTGATTTGAAGCCGACCTCCTATGAGGGTCTTACCGTAATAAGTCAAAAACTCTGCGACGTGAAGAAAAGTCAGAGACACGAGGACGTTGAAAATCCAGTTGACACCAGCAGAGCAGGCGTTGCCAGTGCTGCGCGCCCAGAGTGGGTAGATCTCTGAGTTCACTGTCCACGGCATGGGGCCCATACCTGTAATATTTTTATTTTTGTTATTTTTTTATTTTAAAAATGTATTCATTTAATTTAAAAACAAAACAAAAACTATACATTCAACAAATAATACAAAACACAAATAAAACTAGACATGGGTTTTTACGATGTAAAAACAAGTGTGCATTGCCTTGTAGCATGTCTTTGCCTGCAGCAGTGGACTTGCAGAATGAACTGTGACCAAGTTCAAATGTGTTTCCTATACCAGCTTGTGCTTGTCAAGTCAGCAGGTGTTTGTAATAAGGGTAATTGTGTGACAATATGAAGTTTGTAGAGATTTTCTGTTAAAGTTACTGGCGCTGGGTTTCAAACCCTGATCTCCTACATGAAAGCCCATGGCACTAACCATGAGACCATTAGCGGTGTGGTAGAGAATGAGGCCAGGGTTTGGTTTGTATGTTTGCAGAAAGTGGCCACATTGCCAATGTAATGATTGTCACTAAATTGAAAAATATTACGACAATAAAGCAATATTAGGACAATATTATAGTAAAACATCAAAATACAATCATATTAGTATCGTAAACACTGAACTTTTGAGATTAAATATTATTAAAC